AAAGCAGACTATAGGAGGTTTATCTGCTGGGTTGAAGTTAGAGATAGAGGAGGGAGGTGGCGGCGTAAGCGGGACGGGGAAGGGAGGGGAGTCTCTGCCCACTTTTTTGAAGGCTTGTAGAAGTTATAGAGGTCCCGTATAATGTCGGGGTTTATGGGTCCATAGGGGCCACTTATTTTGGTTGTCTAAGCGATAGGTGGGACAGTCTTGGGTACTGAAGTGAATTAAACATTTGGGTTTAATGTCAGGAGTGAGAGAGAGAGTGGAGAGGTTGTCTAAAAGGCATTTGAGGGGGGCGTCGGCCGGCAGGGATGAGAGCGTCCCCTGGACAGCCGGCTGTTAGGATATGAGGAGGTTGCAATAAAGCCTGTCGTCACAGAATGTTATTACAACCCGTGATTCTCCTGGAGAATCAAAGAGGTTGAGGGCAACCTGGTACCAGGATTTTTTGATGAAGGGGATGCCCAAAACTGGACGGTGGGAGGGAGCAGACTCGAAATTCCTGATGGCCGAGGGAGGGGAAAACCAGTAGGGGCCCGCTGTGGCCTTAAAGGCCTAGGCGGGGTGTGGTCCTCCCCTCACCTGGGGCTGAAAGAGCTGCCAGACAATCAATGGTCAGTTTCTTCCGGTTATCCCGGGCAAGGTTTTAGTTTTTCCAGTTAGGGGCACTTACCAATCCACGGGCCAGTGATGGATGCATCGCTGGCATTCAAGAAAGTGGGCTAAGGCTTTAAGGGGTGAGTCCCGCTGGCGCAGGAACGGGGTCTCGCCTGAGGGCGAGAGGAACCCAATCCGAGTCACGGCACCAATAAAAGACGGTGGTGCATGGTGAGACTCAACACCCGTTAAGGCCAAGAGATTTAATGGGTCAGATGTGGTGGCTACAGGACCTGAGGGTCAGACTGTAGCGCCGAGGCAAGGGTGCTCCAGCCTTTATGGGGGCTTGGGGCGACCTGTCAGTCGTTTATTGGTCGACTGGCAGAGCTCCATCCAGGTTGGTGGGTTTTTCATGGGCGCAGAAAGGGGTGCGGAGGGAGAACAAAGGAAGGCACCGAGGAAGGACAAAGGAAGGCGCCGTTTCAATCGCCATTTTAGTTTGCCGGGTCGCTGTTTCCAGGAAAGAGGGGGAATGTGGCTTTACTTGTGGCTTGTTGGTGGCCCTTCAGTAAGAGCTGCTTCTTCATAACTTAATGCGAGGCCTTCATAATTCTGTAGCACAGGGAGTTAAATCTGTTTTTCTGTGCTGCTAGCAAGGCTGTGATAACACGTTGGAACATGATTGTATTAGTCTATTAGAGCTGCTGTGACCATCAATATACCACAGACTGCGTGGCTTAAACAATAGACACTTTTCCTCACAGTTCTGGATGCTGGAAATCCAAGGCCAAGGTGTCAGTAGGGTCGGTTTCTCCTGAGACCTCTCTCCTTGGCTTTCAGATGGCTACCTGTGTCCTCACATAGTCTTGTGTAGGTGTCTGTCCCCATCTCCTTTTCTTATAAAGATACCCGTCATATTGGATTCGGGCCCACTATAATGACCTCATTTTAACTTAACTACTTCTTTAGAGACCCTGTCACATTCTGAGGTACTGGGGTTAGGACTTCAACATGTATACATTTTGAGGGAACCTGATTCAGTCCAAACAATCATTATGGTTTTTTTTTCCTCTTCCCATAACAAAGTATGGCTTAAAAAACACTTTCTACTTTCTAAGAGTCTATAGTATTGTCAAAATATATAATTCTCCATAAAGAAGCACAGTTGCTGGACCTTTGCAGAGTGTATTCACAAGGCAGTGTGCATCTAGGTACAGCCCATTGTTCATTAATGGGGTTAGTGAGACTTCTTGGTGTGCTTCTTGTTAGAAGGCTGTATTGTTTTATTGTATCTTATTGGAGGACTGGCTGCCTTCTGTAGGGCTTGGTTACCATGGTGATGACTGGCTTCACTACAACTGTATTTTCACTCTGTTTGTGACCCTTTCATTCGCAAACCAGTCGCAGAATTTGGTTTCAATCTATTGTCTCGGTCCCTTGGCCTTGTAACTGCTGTGTACACACAGATGTGTTGTAGGAAAACTAGCCCCCATGCAGTGTAGGTCAGTTGTGGATTTATTATTGGCATATTAACTCTTGTGGGGAAAAGCCTAGTATCACATTCTTTGCCAACATTTGTTCCCTACAGTCAGAGTGCTGAATAACTTGGCCAAGTCAGCCTCTGAGGAATACTTAAAAGAAAACCGCATTTTGGAACATGCTATTGAAGTTTCCAAGTTACTGGACAACAATCCCCGTGACCAAGCTACCATGAAGTACATCGATGGTGTTCTGATGTAAACATGCATTTTTTTTTTTTTAAATTTTTGTTTGTTTGTTTTCTGTACTAGCTGTTGTTCTTGTGATAAATAGACTCAACCCACACCTCTTAATCCAGTTCCCAACTAAATGATTTGGTTAATGCTGACCTTCAGTGTGTCCATTCTCTAGCTTGCAGGTTCTCAAGCAGGGGCAATTTTGGGTTCATTCCCGCCCTGGGGACTTCTGGCAAAGTCTGGAGACATTTTGTTGTCATGACGAGGGAGATTGCTACTGGCATTTAGTGGATGGAGGCCAGGGATGCTGCTAAACATCATATAATGCACAGGACAACCTCCCTCAACAAAGCATCATCCAGTCTAAATGTCCTTAGTGCTGAGGTTGAAAATAGTGCTTCAGGTTTTTTTGTTTTTTGTTTTTTTGAGACAGGGGTCTTGTTCTGTCACCCAGGATGGAGTGCAGTGGTGCAGTGATAGCTCACTACAGCCTCGAACTCCTAGACTCTAGCAATCCTCCCATCTTATCTTTCCAAGTACTTGGGGCCCCCATGCTTTGACTAATCTAAAAAAATTTTTTAGAGACAGGGTCTTGTTATGTTGCCCAGACTGGTCAATGACTCAGGAGTCATTGGGATTATAGGCGAGAGCTATTGCACCTGGCTCTCCAGTTTTTTTTAATAAAGATGTGTACACTGTCTTCTTATAAAGCACTTTGAAGTCCTTTCATTGCTACTATTTTTAATTGTTCCTTTTTATATCTTCCGGGACAGATTTATTTTTTTTTTTTTTTTACAAAATAAAGAATGTTTATGAGAATTATTTTTGATAGCACAATGACTGTAGCCAACATGTCCAGTAAATAACACACATATGCTTTATTTTCAGGTTCATTGCTGGAAATACTTCTCTTGCAAAAACGAAACTTCAAGAATGCCTAAATATCAGGAAAAGTTTGTTTGGCGAGAAAAATATGCTAGTTGGAGAAATTATGGAATTTTTAGCAGATTTGTTATTTTTTCCCCTAAGAGATAGTGAAAAGTAAGTTTTTATAAAATGTTTCAAAAAAATGTGTCTCCCATGCCCCCAGCACACCCATCAGAAGCAGGGAGGCCTCAGCCATCAGGGGTGGCTCTGCTAATACTTCTTGGCTCCTTGCCTGCTCAGAGACTGGGATGCTCCCCTGCCTGAGGTTCTGTCCCCATCTGTTTGTCAGGACACCAACCATAACGTTTCTTGACAGGCTAGTGTGGGAGAAGGGTCCTTGTAAACCTGCAGAGAGCTGTGTGCTCCTCTCCTTTGGCCTGGTGTCCTCCTGTTCATGGCACATCAACTGACTGGATGGTCAGGGACCTCTAGGTTAAACTGTGAAGTTCTCGAGTCTGTTTTTTTTGAGTTGGAGTTTCACTCCATCGCCCAGGCTGGAGGGCAGTGACACGTTCCCGGCCACTGCAGCCTGGACCTGCTGGGCTCCAGCAATCCTTCCGCCTCAGCCTTCCAAGTAGCTGGAACTACAGGTGTGCGCTACCACACCCGGCTAATTTTGATTTAATGTAGAGACGCGGTCTCGCCAAGTTGCTTGACTGGGTCTCAAACCCGTGGGCTTAGGCAATCCACTTGCCTCAGCCTCCCAAAGTACTGGGATGACAGACTGAGCCACTGAGCCTGGTCTCGAGTCTGTTTTCGTGGTGCCATCCCCTCCCTCCCTCTTCCCTGGCTTGCTTTTCCATTTCAGCTTCCCACTTTCTCTGAGATCATTTTCCTCTCACCATCATTTTTGCTTTTGCCCCCGGGAAGAATAGGATATTGGTAATCTCTAACACCTGAGTGCAAAGTCACTATTAGCTCTAAAAGTTGTTTAAGTGCTTTTAAAATAGTAGCTCAGGGCATTGCCTTGCTAAACTATGGTGTGACCATGTGCTCTTTGAGCTATGGGCCAGGCCATGTTTGGCCCCCTCCCCTACCTTGGGAAGTGAATCACCTCTCTCTCTCTCTCTAATTTACTTTCTAAGTAAACTGTATTCTCTAAAAAAAAAAAAAAAAAAAGAGTAGCGCTCTCTCTCTAATTTACTTTCTAAATAAACTATATTCTCTAATCTAAAAAAAAAAAAAGTACCTAAGGGCAAAACAGCAGGTGTGCTATGTAGTCCTGGTGAGTCGTGGGCTCAGGAGGCTGGTTGCCTGAGTTCACATTTTGTTTCTGCCACTTAGTAACAGTGAGAAGCCAGGCAAGTGCTTAACATGGTGGCATCTCATTCATTTCCTTATTGGTAACATGAGAGTAGCAACAGTATCTTCCTCACAGGCCGTTGTGAGGATGAAGAGATCCTCCATGTAAATAGCTGAACAGGCGCCTGGCACACACAAAAAGAGTTCAGTAAACTGAGTCATTAGGATTGTTATTTTGCTCCCAGCAGGTGATTTCTGAGGTACTTGTTGCCACACCAGCCTCTCTTTCTCATCATAAGACCAGCACTGTGAGCAAAGAATAGGACTTTATTTAGAGAAGCAAAAAGCTTGACTGTAGAGCTGCTGCCTCGTAAAAGAAAAATCTAAACATGTAGCACACTGACTGAGTCATCTCTCCTGCCCTCTAAATGCGGGGCTGGCAGGGTGTGAATCACAAGTCACTGAATGTGGCTGGGCCGTTCCCCAGGGATGACCTCGATGACCATACATGGATGCCTTCCTCAGGTTTCGTTGTCAGCGGTCCACCTTTGGAAACAATGGGGAAACTCTTCCTTGTGGAAGGTTATACTTGGGTGACTGCATCTTCCACATTGGTGCAAACCATGAGACATTTTGCTGTGTAACTCGACTCAACTCACCTCTCAGATGTGTAGATCCTTGACCCCGGAGACTAGAGGCCCTGGAGACAGCTCTAATACACCACAGAAAGATCTGTAGGATCACGAGGTCCTTGTAGAAGGAGGGTGGGTAGGGCTGGATACAGGAGGTCAAATTTAAAAATTAAAAAAACATGACAGAGAAGAATGAGTAGAATGCCTTGAGTGGAGCGGTGACACGCTGTCAGGGAAGCAGTTGGCTTCCACTCTCAGCTGTCTGGCCGTGCATCAGTGGCCGTCCTTTTCTCTGTGTCCTCCTCACAGTCGAGTTCCTTTACTTCCTCACTTCCATGTGTTGTCCTTGGCCTGCTTCCCCCACTCAGCTCCATGTTGACCATTCTCATGAAGGTCACCAGGATCACCCCTGAATTGTCCTCTGCATTTTGATCTTGTTGGCCTCCTCTGAAGCATTTGATGGTATCGATCATACCCTTCCTGAAACTACTATCTCCTGGGTTCTGAAGTGCCCTCCCTCTTGGGTATCCTCTCTGATTAGGCCATCGCTGTCCCTTTTATGGGTTCCTCTTTCTCTCCCTGCCTCTTGCCCACATTTTCTTGAGTTTGGTTAAGGGGCTCTATGCTCGTCTCAGTCTGGCCACCTCAACTCCGCCAGTGCCCGGGCTTTGCCGACGTGCCTGAGGCGAAGCCCTCTTGTCTCGATCTCATTCTCAGGACTGTGACACGACTCTGCAGCCATGTGCATCCATCTGCCTATGGGCCCTCTTCGTTTGAGCGTTCCACGGGCATTCCAGAGCCAACATGCTCAAGACCAGACACATCCACCCCATACTCCCTGACTGAATGCTCCTTCTCATCTCACCCAGTGCGAACACCATGGCATCTTCTGGAAGATACATCTTTAGGATATTTATCATCACTGTGCTGAACACATCACATGCACTTTCTCATTTAACCCCACAAAAACTCTATCGTCCTCATTTGAAATGTGACAAAGCTGAGGCTCAGGAGGGTAAGATGCTGGCTGTCGGCTGCCAAGTGGCAGAGCCAGGGTGAGCAGCTGGGAAGTCTGACTTAAGAGCCCGTGTGCCCAACCACGGTGGCACATTACCACATCCAGTGACGTTAGAGGTTGAGCTCTTAACTGCATCACTCCATGCACGTACAGAGTCTCCCGTACTCCCAGCATCTGCCCGCCACCTCCAGGGTGATGCCAGGCCTAGGCGCGCCTCCCTTCGCGTCTGTGGTCCCCGCTCAGGTCATCGCTGCTCTTCCTCTGGACTCCTTGGTCTCTCCTGCTTCAGCATATCTGCCACACTTCTGCCCAGGCAGGCTTATCATATGTAAATGGGGTCATGCCATTCTCTCAAGGAAACTTCTTCGATGTTAGCCTCCCAAACCCCTAAGCTTGCACTGAAGGTCCTTCGTGGGTGGGACCCTGCCTCACTCCCCAAGACCCCCTCCTAACGCAGGAAACCCTCCAGGGGCAAGAACGAGCCCTCCTCATCTTTGCTCCTCAGTGCGAGTGCCAGCCTTCGGTGACTGCTTATTGCATGAGTGAATGGACAGCACGCTTCTCTGATGCAAAACTTTAATTAAATTTCTCCTTTCTAGATCCCAAAGGAAACAGGTGATTGAATCCTATAAGCAAGTGATACAGATAAAGGAAATCGCAGTCTCTCTGGCCAGCTCATCGCTTGTCAGGAAGCAGCGGAGTGTCAGCCTCAGTGACACCTTGTGTAAACTAGGTAGATGCTTCCCTCTGTTTCTCGTGTCCAAGCGTTACTTTTCCCTTTGCTTCCTTGATTTTGAAAAGTCCTCGTTTTGTAAAGCAAGCAACTCCTCGTCCACACACTTTCAAATTTCTTGCTCCCCTCTCACCTTCCCTGACCAGGAAAGATGTCTCTAAATGAGCTTTTCTGAGCCGGGCTCGGTGGCTCAGCCTGTCATCCCGCGCCTTTGGGAGGCTGAGGTGAGTGGATGGCCTGAGCCCACGGGTTCGAGACCCGCCTGGGCCGCGAGACCTCATCTCGACAATCAATCAAAAAATCAGCCGGGCGTGGTAGCGCATGCCTGTAATTCCGGCTACTCGGAAGGCTGAGGCGGAAGGATCGCCGGAGCCCAGCAGGTTGAGGCTGGGGTGGCCATGAGTGTGCCACCGCCCTCCAGCCTGGACGACAGAGTGAGACTCCAACTCAAAAAAAAAAAAAAAAAAAAAGAATACAAAGGAAAAACTTAAAATGAGATCAGAGTTGCAAATTGAAGTGAAGATGTGGCCTTTCACCTTACTGGGATGGGTGGGAGTCGTGTCACTCTGCTCCTCTTGCTGCTGTTTTGTTCTTTGTGGGAGAAATTCTCTTTTTTGAGTTTTTTTGAACAAAGTGTTGACACGATTACCTGTGGTTTATGGTGAGTATTGAGTTTCTTCTTCCTGGTGGTAGCTCAGTTAAGTGGAATTCAGGGACATTTTCAGGGGAGTCTTCCAGCGTTGCTGCTGGACTCCCCTCAGGCCTCGTGAGAGAAGGGTCCTGGTCCAGGGTCTGCCATGGTCAGGGGCCTCAGCCTTTACAGCCGTGGCTCTTATTTGGCAGAGTCATCTAGTAGCGTGTTCTGCAGGCCATGCAGTGGGGTCTGTCATTTGCCTGGAATGTTGCTGCCCAACTTGATGCTTGGAAACTGAGGCACAAGAAAAGTTAGAGGCTGCCGGCAGGGACACTCAGCCGGGAGGGGCCCGTATACGGAGGTGGCCAAGGACATGAGTGAGTCCCCCATGCAGAACTTTTTAACCTTTGTGCCTCGAGTGACCAGGTTACTGGGGGCAGAGGGAGACCTCTCACCCTCAGGCAGCTGAGCAGGATGGAGCTCCCACCTGGTCCTCTCCAGCCTTGCCTGGCTTTGTTTATTCCAGTCGGCTATACGAGAAGTCTCGTTTCTGTAAGTACCACACTAGAAACATTTTGAAGCACTGTCAGGAGTCCTGACATCTCATGGCACAAGGCTTAATCTTTACTTCAACCTAAATAAGTGGATTTCAACTAGGGGTGGTTTTGTTTCCTCCCTGCCCAGGACAAAAGTCTGGAGAAACTTTTGGTGGGGTTGCAGGGAGTGGGGAGATGAAAGTGCTGCAGTCATTTAGTGGGCGAAGTCCAGAGATGCTGCTGAGCATTTCAACAATGCCCAGGGCCACTTCCACAACAAAATCTCTCCAGCCCCAAATGTCAGTAGTGCTCAGGCTGAAAAACCTTGGCCTGCACCAGCTACTTTCCCTGGCATGGGAGCGACATGACAGCGATGGGAGGAGAATATATTTGTCTACTTTCAGAAGGTCTCTGAAATCGTAGTGATTGCAGTGTTTTTGCAACTTCTTCCATAAGTATTTACTTGGTTTTTCAGTTTTGTAGTCAGTTTTCTACATGGTTATGATCAGTGTTTCTCTGCAAGGAGTCGTTTCTTGCCACCATCACCTCCTGCTTCAATTGGTGGTGGTAAGAGAAGACAGTTCCAGTCCTTCAGTTCTCAAGGACATGTGTATTGGGGGGAAAGAACATTGCTTATGGAGAACTCTGAATCAGTTGTCCTTCAATATGTAGGAAGTATTTTTCGTTTTCCTGTCTTTTTTTTTTTTTAAGACAGAGTCTGGCTCTGTCACCCAGGCTGGAGTGCAGTAGCATACTGAAGCCTCGACCACCTGGCTTCAAGCAATCCTCCTGCCTCAGCCTCCCAAAGCTCTGGGATTGCAGGCATGAGCTACCACACCCAGCCTAGTTTTCCTACCTTTAATGGGAATTTTCTTTCTAAATGGAAATGTGCCTGAGTCCACTTCATAAAGTCGGAAGTAAGCTAGAGCACAGGTAGTTGAGACTCCTTACCATTAATCATTTTTAAAGGTGTTGTAAGTCCTTTGCAGTAAAAGTGTTATCAAACGTTAATCGTCAAAGCAGTTCTCTCTGAAGTCAATAGCTATGGAGTTTTTTTTTTATTGAGGGGTGAAGAGCTATGATATACAGATAATTACACTGTATTTATATTCAGTGAGTCTTTATTTTAATGCTTTCTACATTGTAGTGCATGTCAGAATTGTAAGCTTGTCTTATCTTTCCTAGCTAGTTTGTGATCTGGGGTGATTTGAGAAAATCCTTCACCCTGTAAAGAAAAACAAACCTACATCCCCTATCTTGGAGCTTACAGCATGAAGCTGCCCACGTAATGGTAGCTCTATTGCAAATTATTGCTTGCAACTGCCTTTGTGACTTTGGATTGGAGGCTCATTTATGAACTACTTATTGCTTGCCTCCTTTTTCTGTTGCTTGTTGTGGGTGCTCTGCAAGAGGGCTGCCTATCACTTTGAAGTGGTCCCCTAGGTCCCCCAGTGTGACTTTTATGAGTGCCTTGTGGCCTGCATTTGAATGTGAATCATCCCAAACATGCCTTCTAAATTTGGTGAAAATCTGTCTTGGTCTTTTCTGGATGGGTTAATAGATAGTAATAGATAGCCAGACAAATAGATGGACATTTGTTTCCCCACAAAGCACTGGGCTAAGTGCTCTACAGGATACAGAAACAAAAGAAGATAACGTCTGCCTTCAAGCAACTTATCCTTTGCTTAGGAGGCAAAACAAACCTATAATAAAAAAAAATCCCACATTCAGGATGGGAAGCAGAGTCCGGCTTGAGGAGACTGGACTGGGATATGAAGAAGGAAGCGGGCAGTGACGGGCTGGGGCTGTGTGCTGGTGCAGAGGTGGTCCTGTCCTGTGGGTGAGTGGAGGTCTAGACGGGCTTGTCTTCTCTAGGAAATGTCTTGGAAACTTTTCAGGGTTGCTTAGCATGCCTCGAGGCTGTCTAGAGTCTGTCTGCAGGTGTGCAGTGAAGTCCCTGTTCACCTTATGCCCTTTAGCCCCACCCTTCCTACCCCTAAGGTACCAAAGTAAAGACAGTACAGATGGAGCGCCCCAAATCTGAAACTCCAAAATCTAAAATGCTCCCAAATCTGAAACTTTGAGCACTCCTATGTGACACTCCAGGGAAGTGTTCATTGGAGCATTTTGGATTTTCAGATTGAGGATGCTCAACCGGTAAGCATAGTCCAAATATCCAAAAATCCAAAATAGCTCCCAAATCTGAAACACTTCTGAGCCCAGCCAAGCATTTTGGATAAGGGATACTCAACCTGTACTCTGTGACTTAAAATTATATATTTATTTGTTCATTAGGGTGTTAGTTTTTTTGTCTGTCTTACTTGCTAAAAAAGAAGAGACTTCATCTGTCTTTTGCAGCATTCTATGTCCTGGTCTTCTCAGAACAGCAGCTGGCACATAATAAGTCCTCAGTAAACATTTGCCGAGTGAGTGAATGAATGTGTGATGGAGGAAATGCCTTAGCAGATTTACCCCCTTTAGAAAATTAAGTACTGATTATTAGGGGCATTTGAGAGTTAGTTACTTGTATTCTCACCCCAATTCATTCATTCATGTATTAATTCACTCAACGCATATTTGCTGTACCTACTGAGTGGCAATCTCTATGTTAGTTCCTGGGGGCTTGGCAGCGAACAGGACAGTTAAAGACCGACACTGCCTTCCCTGAACTCATACTGGGGGAGAAGGTTGTCAGACAACTAAATATGCAATTTGTCTGCAATTGTGGAAAGCGTCACTATGGAGATAGTAGTTAGACAACTAAAAACACAATGGCTTAACTACAATTAGGGAAGGTGCTATGGTGGGAAAATGTGAGTGCTCACAGGGGCCCTTGCTCTGTCGGATGGAGGGGATGGCTTGGGATGCATCTCAGGGTGCTGAATGGGAACTGCAGGACGCAGAGTTGCTTACTGAGCATAGTGGAGGAGAGGGCAGGAGGAACAGAAGTTTCGAGGCTGAAGGAGCTGCAAAGGCCCGTGTAGCTGGAGTGCCGAGAGCAAGGTAGGGGGTCCTGAGGGAGGATGTTAGGCAGAGGTGGGGGTCTGGCTCACAGGCCTCCCGGGCCCAGTCAAGGATTTGAGGTGTTGCCATGACAGCACTGAAAGCCAGTGCAAGAGATTTACAAAGCCGATGAGTGCTAGGAACCCAGAGTCATTCTCTAGCAGAGTCTTCATAAGAGATGTCTCATAGCACATTCCAAAATAATAGTGTAAATCCAGATCAATGAAAGAACGCAGAGGACGCTTTTATGGCACTCATTTTCTATTCCTTCCTGAGCTGCAGATTTTTATTTTTTTGAGTTGGAGTCTCACTTCTGTCGCCCAGTCTGGAATGCAGTGGCATGACCTGATGGGCTTAGGCAATCCTTCTGCCTCAGTCTTCCAGGTAGCTGGAACTACAGACACCCGCCACCACGCCTGGTTAGTTTTTTGTGATTTATTGTAGAGATGAAGTCTCACCAAGTTGCCCAGGCTGGTCTCGAACCCCTGGGCTCAGGCAGTCCTCTCGCCTTGGCCTCCAAAGTGCTGGGATTACAGCCTGAGCCATCGCGCCTGGCCTGAGGTACAGATTTTAACCTCTCACACTGGGCTTCCAGTAGCAGGGCCTTATTATTTATTCTTTGTATCTTCAAAGCATCAGAAGCAGCTCTCTACGTAAGCACAAAGGAAGGCTGAGAAGTGGACAAACAGGTTCTTTCTGGGGGTTGACACCATTTGCCTTGGGTTATCCAACAGACTGGTGACTGTGCTCCAGGCTAACAATTTTGAAAGAAGCAATTCAATTCTACTTTTATCTGTTGAAGATAATATTTAGTTTGGCTGGGCATG